GGCTCAGTGGTAGAGCCCCTGCCTAGAATTCCCCAGGGAGAGGGTGGGGTGTGGCTGAGAGGAGAGTGCTGGCCTAGATCCATTAGTGAGGGGCTGGGTGTATATACACATTGCCCCCTGCAAAGCAGAGCTGAATCACACCCCTCCACCCCATCATGCAACACTCAAACCAGTCTGCTTTTCTTCCCTAGCAGCCGGCTGCCTCTTCCCACTCCTGGGTGCCACCCTCCAGCAGGCACAGGTCCTGAGTTCGTGGGGCACATACTGATTTTGCAGCAGAGTGAGGATCTGAATTCAGGATATCTGGACATGGTTTCTCACCAGGGCACGTCCTTCCCGCCCAGGAGGTATGGCCACAGCCCACGATGGAGACAAACAGTAAACAGAGCTTGTGGAGGCCCTGCCCTGGCAAGGCCACATTCTAGCAGGGTGAGCCAGACGGTGATGCAGAGAGCTGCGCACTCAGACATAGCCACAGCGCACAGTGAGGGAAAGAAGCCAGGACGAGGGGTGGCGGTGCAGAAGGGTACAGCATACCTGGGCTCGGAGGGCCCAGCACTGTGTGACCGTGCCTGGGTCAGAGGCACAGGCTGGAAGGAGACATTAAGGCGCCTGTCTGCAGACTGAGGAAGTAACACGCTGAAGACAGCCACCGAAGCATCCATAGAACCTTGCAGACAGCAGGAGGAGCATGTGCAAAGGCCCCAAAGTGGGAAGGAAGGTGAAGGCCTGAGGGCTAGCCAAACAGGAGAGCAGGTGTGAACTGCCCCCAGCAGTGTGTAGGGTAAAGAAGCTAAGCCAACTCTAGCAGGACAAAGGGAGGGAGTACTGAGTCCATCCAGCCTACTGCTTCCACACAGTGATCTCGGGTTTTGTTCTTGTGGTGATAGGAATGGAACCCAGAGCCTCTTGGAAGCACAGTGGTCCCCTATGTGAGGAGTCCGAGACCATAGCAAAAGTGCCACCCTGGGGACTTTGCTAGTAATCGGATGTTCAGCCTGATATGCTGGTGAACTGGGAGTCCAGCCTGAGCTACAAGGTCAGAGTCTGTCTCAAAATAAAAAAGGGGATGAAAAGGGGGTTGGAATATAGCAGCAAAATATAACACCTAAATCCTTCAGTTAGGGGCTGGGGGCGTGGCTCCGTGGTGGAGCCCCTGCCTAGAATCCCCCAGTGAGGGGCTGAGGGCGTGGCTCAGTGGTGGAGCCCCTGCCTAGAATCCCCCAGTGAGGGGCTGAGGGCGTGGCTCAGTGGTGGAGCCCCTGCCTAGAATCCCCCAGTGAGGGGCTGAGGGCGTGGCTCAGTGGTGGAGCCCCTGCCTAGAATCCCCCAGTGAGGGGCTGAGGGCGTGGCTCAGTGGTGGAGCCCCTGCCTAGAATCCCCCAGTGAGGGGCTGGGGTGTGGCTCAGTGGTAGAGCCCCTGCCTAGAATCCCCCAGTGATGGTCTGAGGATCCTGGAGCAGTTATACCCAGAGGATGGGTAGCCTTTACAAGGTTATGCCTAGCAGAAGGTTCCCTGGCCTGATCTTATTCCTCTTTTCCTTCTCAGCTGTGGAACAAACATCTTGCATCACCACATGCTCTCCACATAGAGTCACTTCAGGCCCAAACCAAAAAAAGGCCAGTGATAATTTCTGATGCCTCCAAAACTGCGAGCCAAAAGAGTCTTTTCTGGGGCTAACTTTACTAGATTCTAGGGACTTGTGTTTTTTTCTTTCTTGGGGTCTCATGTATCCCGGCGCTGTTTGTGAACTCTCTGCCTTAAGCCCTGCCTCCACCTTCTGGACGCTTTCTCCACTGTGTGCCCTTTTCTTCAGCGCTGAGGCTTAATCCCAGGTGTGTGCCGAGTCAGCACCCTCTAAGCTGAGCTTCACCCCAGTCCAGTTCTGTTAATTATAAGCTAACATCAGACTCCTTGGACAAATGCTTGTTCTATTTTATTTTTTGTCACGTGAACAGTGGCCCACGAGATCCACCGCTGTACTTATTTTCTACTTCCTGGATTTGTACAAATCCCCTTAATTAAAAGAGTAGATATTCTTGATGGTTGTGTTTCCTGTCAAGATATAATTAACACATGATAAACACACTCATTTAAAAAAACATTAAGACAGGGCCAGGTGGTGGAGACACGCATCTTTGATCCCAGCACTTGGGAAGCAGAGGCAGGCAGATCTCTATGAGTTCAAGGCCAGCCTGGTCTACAAAGTGAGTTGCAGAACAGCCAGGACTGTTACACAGAGAAACCCTGTCTCTTTGACAAATGCATCTGCCCAAGTTGCAACTATTCTTAAGATGGAACTTTCTAGACCTGGTGTGGTGGTGCAGGACTTTAATCCCAGCACACAAGAGGCAGAAACAGGTGGAGCCCTGTGAGTTCCAGGCTAGCCTGATCTACATATCTAGTTCCAGGACAGCCTGGACTGCACAGTGTGCCCTTGGATCCCACTGCATGTGAAATTTCACTCATGCCTTTTGGCTGCAATTCTTTTAGCCTCTAATGGCTTACCAACATGATTTCTTTGATGCTAGTTAATCTTGCCTTTTCCAGGATTTTATATAAATGAAATCACACGATAGGAACTTTTGTTTTGTTTTGTTTTTCAAGACAGGGTTTCTCTGGGCAGCTTGGGAGCCTATCCTGTCACTCTCTCTGGCGACCAGGCTGGCCTCGAACTCACAGAGATCCGCCTGCCTCTGCCTCCCGAGTGCTGGGATTAAAGGCGTGCAATGCCACCGCCTGGCTGTTTTGCCTGTCTTTTACCGGTCTGCATAGAGATTTTTAGACTCATCCAGAAATCCACATTGCCAAGTGTTTGGATAGTTCATTCCTTTTACTGATGGGTGGAATCCCAGTGTATGCATGCAGAACTGTCAGCTGCCATAACAAAAACACTGCAACCTCAACTTCAAAAAATGAGATGGAGCTCAATGGTAGATACATCAGCAGTTTAGAGTCGTTGTTGTGCCGGGCGGTGGTGGCGCACGCCTTTAATCCCAGCACTGGGGAGGCAGAGGCAGGCAGATCTCTGTGAGTTTGAGACCAGCCTGGTCTACAAGGGCTAGTTCCAGGACAGCCTCCAAAGCCACAGAGAAACCGTGTCTCAAAAAACAAAACAAAAAAAAAGTCGTTGTTGCTTTTCCTGAGGACTGCTGTTCAATTCCCAGAATCCACAGTGTTGTGCAATATTACTTGATGATGTATTACATTCCTTTATGCTGTGGGATATTTATTTAATGATGCAAAGATGTGTTGCATTCTTTTATGTTGCATCTGTTTAATTCTGTGAAGCTGTCTTACTTTGCCCGCCTGAAACACCTAATGGTTCTCATCAAGAGCTGAACGTCCAGTAGCTCAGTGGAAGAGAGGAATATTTGGGGCCAGGCAGAGAGAATAGAGAGAGGAGAGAGAAGAGGGAGGAGCAAGAAAAGGAGAGAAGGATGCCAGGGCCAGCCTCGGAGCCACACAGCCAGACATGGAATAAGAAGGGAAGAAAAGATGTACAGAAATAGAGAAAGGTGAAAGCCCAGAGCCAAAAGGTAGAGGGGTTAAGTTAAGTTAAGAAAAGCTGGCTAGAAACAAGCTAAGGCTGGGCGTTCGTAAGGAAGAATAAGTCTCCATGTATTTATTTGGGAGCTGGGGGCGGGGAGGCCCAAAGAGTTAAAAAACAAACAAACAAACAAAAAAACAACTACACACAGGGTGGCTTCTGGTCACTGTGAGGACTTGAAGTAGAGCCAAGCCACCAACTCACGGTGGTCAGGAAGTGAAAGAGCAAAATGAAAAGGGACAGGAGTGAGTCCCTTGTCCACTGCAAGGGCACACTCTGGGGACCAGAAGATATTCTACTAGTCCCCACCTCTAAAAGATCTAATCACCTAACAGTGCAAAGTTGGAGACCACGCCCTTAACACACTGGCCTGTGTGAACACACAGACTCCAGTTACATCCCAGGGTGTTAATCCAGGTGTGCACACTTGAGCTGTTCTGCTGTGGGGCTGCCAGGACCAGCATGGTGATCCTGTCTGTGTGAATATCTGCTTTAAGTGCTAAATGCCACACCGGCCACATTCCTGATCTTCCGGTGGCCAGTGCAGAAGCTGGCGACAGCGTTGGAATCCACTTACTCTGCTAGAGCAAAAGCCACACACCCAGAGTCCTCATACTCAGGCAAACTCTGAGATTCTGGGGTCCATTCCAGACTTCAGTGATGAAACAAGGGAGCTCTACTGTGAATCAGACATACCCCAGGATTTGAGATCCTCTGAGCATGGAGGCACAGGCAAGAAGGAAAGAAAAAGCCTGAGACTGGGCTAGAGAGTGGCTCAGTGGTAGAGCCCCTGCCTAGAATCCCCCAGGGAGGGGCTGGGGGTGTGGCTCAGTGGTAGAGCCCCTGCCCAGAATCCACCCAGTGAGGGGCTGGGGGCGTGGCTCAGTGGTAAAGCCCTGCCCAGAATCCCCCCAATGAGGGGCTGGGGGTGTGGCTCAGTGGTAGAGCCCCTGCCCAGAATCCACCCAGTGAGGGGCTGGGGGCGTGGCTCAGTGGTAAAGCCCTGCCCAGAATCCCCCCAATGAGGGGCTGGGGGTGTGGCTCAGTGGTAGAGCCCCTGCCCAGAATCCACCCAGTGAGGGGCTGGGGGCGTGGCTCAGTGGTAAAGCCCTGCCCAGAATCCCCCCAATGAGGGGCTGGGGGTGTGGCTCAGTGGTAGAGCCCCTGCCCAGAATCCACCCAGTGAGGGGCTGGGGGCGTGGCTCAGTGGTAAAGCCCTGCCCAGAATCCCCCCAATGAGGGGCTGGGGGTGTGGCTCAGTGGTAGAGCCCCTGCCTAGAATCCCCCAGTGAGGGGCTGGGGGCGTGGCTCAGAGGTAGAGCCCTGCCCAGATTCCCCCAGTGAGGGGCTGGGGTGTGGCTGGGCAGAAGTTTGGTTAGTATTCACAAAGCCCTAGGTTTCATCTTTACGAACACAAAAGAACAATTCAGCACACTCAACAGGCCATGGGGGACTTGAGGACAGCCTGAACTTCATAAGAATATATTCTCAAACAAAACAAACAAATAAAACACATCAAAGCAGGACAGGGGCATACTGGTTTCAGTGAGAGGGAGGGAGTGGGCAAGGATGATGAGGGGTAATAAGATCCCAGCCCATTTTATAATCCTATCTGTTTATGTGCGTATGAATTAGAGGAGAATAAATACATTTTTAAATGAACCCAAAGCCTCTGTAGTCTTGGGGCTTCTTCCTCTGGGTCCCTGCAGGCTGTGGCCACACCCTGCCCTGGATTCTGGCCCCACTCATGAGGCTTCCCTCCCACCCACCGTGACAGGCCTGAGGCGGGTGGGAGTGTAGCTGGGACAAGGGGTGTGTGCTGAGATGGCCCCAGGAGCGTATGCAGTCTTGGGTGTGCCATGGGCTCTGCTGGTATTTTCTGGGAACCCGCTGGGGTGTGGCAGGGTGACACCTGGAAGGTACATTTGTCACTTCAGCCCTCACAGGGCCCTGGTGACTTCCCAGACCTTCAGTGCGGCTCAGGCCAACAGCCAGCCATTTCCTGCCTCAGTTCCCTGAGAGGTGCCTCTCACTTCCTCACAGGGCTCTTATTAAAGTGAATGGCTTAAGTCAGTCAATAACTATTATCGCCATCCTTTTCCTCTTCCGGGGACGGTGCTTAGAGGCGCTCAGAATGGTCCAGCGTTTGACGTAGTGACGCAGGCTTTCCTACAATACAGCCTCTAACAAAACTAGGCTGTCTCGAACCCCTGGCAACAGGATTGTTTGCTTACCTTTATACCAAGAAGGTTGGGAGAGCACCTCAAGCCGCACGCAGGGTGTGCCCAGGCAGACTTGGAGGGGTTAGGGTGGTGGCTCCGTGTGTGCCACGTGTGTCCCTGACAGGGTCAGGCGGCTTTCCTTATTGAGGAGCAGAAAATCGTTGTGAACGTGTTGAAGGCACAAACACAGAGTCAGAAAGCGAAATAAATATGCAGCTTTTAAAAATAAAGGTCAAGGCTTGGAGGTCTACAAGAGCGAGTGCCAGGACAGCCTCCAAAGCCACAGAGAAACCCTGTCTCGAAAAACCAAAAAAAAAAAAAGGTCAAGGCTTGGTCTGTGGGAAACCAAAACAAAACAATCTATTATTTTATCATCTGAAGCCATCACTGTGAGCCGGTGGCTGTGTTTCTTGATTCAAATCTGATCCCTGCTGAGCACACCTGAGACTTCTGTCCATCTGTCCAACACGTCATGTCCCTGCTGTGCAACCCTGAGTGAGTCACTGGGCCTCTCTGTGTCTCTGTTTCTTCATTGGCAAAATGGCACAAGGACAGGGTGGACTTCCTAAGGTGGATGAGAGGATGGCTTACCCCATTTCCTGGCTAGAAACAATGAGGGGAAGGCGGGCGTTTTAACTGGGGCGTGAGCTCTGACTGAGTCTGAAGGACAGGGAGTGTGGAAGTGTGCAGCCAGACTTGGGAGCAGCAGCAATGGCAGCACTCACAGGACGAGGCAACACAGGCTCCTTTACCACCTTTTGGGAGGTAGAAGCAGGATGGTCAGTAGTTCAAGGCCAGCCTGGGCTACATAAAGACTGTCTGGAAACAAAAAAGACAAAAGCCCCCCAAAACAACAAACAAAATAACCCAGAAGCCAGGAGTAGCTCGGCCTGGCTTGAGGTGCAGATTGGGGGCTTCAGGGCCCAGATCTGCTTACAAACTGCCCATGGTCTCATTGCTCCTCCCCTTTGTCAGTGGGGTGGCTTTAAGGAGCTGGGCTGCTGATGGTCTCCGTTCAGGGCTAACCAGACCGGGTAGGGGATGAGCCACAGACAGGAAGTGGCCCTGGGTATCTGGCCCTACAGGTTCCTCACGCCCCAAAGTCCTGACTCCACTGTGCCCCGTCCTCTCTGGGGGAGGAGGCCGGGAGAGACAGTCACCCTGAGAAGCCCAGTCAGGGGCCACGGCCTCCA